GTGTCCTATAAGAGTGTCCAAGAGTGTCCCACAAGAGAGTCCGACAAGAGTGTCTCACAAGAGTGTCCCGCAGGAGTGTCCCAAATGAGTGTCCCACAGGAGTGTCCCACAAGAGTGTCCCGCAACAGTGTCCCGCAAGAGTGTCTCACAAGAGTGTCCCTTAAGAGTGTCCCGTATGAGTGTCCCACAAGAGTCCCGCAAGAGTGTCCCAAATGAGTGTCTCACACAGGAGTGTCCCACAAGAGTGTCCCGCAACAGTGTCCCGCAAGAGTGTCTCACAAGAGTGTCCCTTAAGAGTGTCCCACAAGAGTGTCCCGCAACAGTGTCCCACAACAGTTTCCTACAAGAGTGTCCCACAAGAGTATCCCACAAGAGTGTCCTACAGGAGTGTCCCACAAGAGTGTCCCACAAGAGTTTCCTACAAGAGTGTCCCACAAGAGTGTCCCACAAGAGTGCCCACAAGAGTGTCCCACAAGAGTGTCCTACAAGAGTGTCCCACAAGAGTGTCCCACAAGAGTGTCCCACAAGAGTGTCCCACAGGAGTGTCCCACAAGAGTGTCCCGCAACAGTGTCCTGCAAGAGTGTCTCACAAGAGTGTCCCTTAAGAGTGTCCCACAAGAGTGTCCCGCAACAGTGTCCCACAAGAGTGTCCTACAAGAGTGTCCGACAAGAGCTTCCTACAAGAGTGTCCCACAAGAGTGCCCCACAAGAGTGTCCAAGAGTGTCCTACAGGAGTATCCCACAAGAGTGTCCTACAAGAGTGTCCCACAAGAGTTTCCTACTAGAGTGTCCCACAAGAGTGTCCCACAAGAGTGTCCCACAAGAGTGTCCCGTAAGAGTGTCCCACAAGAGTTTCCTACAAGAGTGACCCACAAGAGTGTCCCACAAGAGTGTCCTACAAGAGTGTCATTTGGACATATGTAGCTTTTCGAACGTGTTTGCATTCGGGTTCGTGGGTTCCATCTTGTTTTTTGTGTAGAAAACAGCTCACACTGCCCAGCAGCTAACAGTTTTAAGTCCTTAATTTCAGCTGAGCATGGTACCTTTGAAAAGCAGAACGTTTCGTGTAGTTCGACACTTTAAACTTAAACGGAATACAAGTTCAAAATTAAAAGGCCGGCTGCAAGTACAGAAAGCATTGTGAGGATAGTGTAGTGCTGTATTTCGTAGTTGTGCTAAGCATTTTTGTTGTTGGGTATGACGCATTTGATTCTCGACAAATAGGCTTTGGGAAAGAACATCAGACTGCCAAGATCCGTTAGTTTTGCTGTCAGGATTGTATACTTTTTGGGGGGGAGTCCAACTGGTTTTCAGGCTATAACATTTTGGCTGTAGAAGCATGATAAACGCATCCAAAGGACATCCTGTGCTTACCATCTCGGTAGTGCCTTTGCCAAGGAAAGCCAGCCATCTAGCTTCACTGCCAGCCGAAAAATGTGAAGCAATGCCCCTCATTTGCATAGCATGTCCATGCGAAAGAGCACTGTCAGCTCTGACCACATGCCTGAAGATACTTTTTGGATCCTTTTGGGTGGAAGTTTTGATGTTCAATGTGGACCCCAGTTGGCGGATGTTGAGATATTGAAGCCACTTCACCTGTTCACCATGCTTCTGAGTTGGGAGCAATAAAGTATCGAAATTATGTTGTCCAGTCCTCCAACTATTGGGGTGAGAGAGAGCTCATCTACTTCCCAAAGCTGCAATCCCAATGGCTGGATAGGGCCCGAAGTCTTTGAGATACCCACATGGCTTTGTGCCAAATGGGGGGACAGTGAATCAAAGGGATCGGACAAAGCATCAAACAAACCCCATCAACAAACGGCTTGTCAATTTGATGCATGCCCTCACAGGTTTGTTGGTTTGTCCCACTTACAAAGGTGGGGCTCCACGAGCCACTTTTCTATATAGTATTTGTGTGGAGCAGCTTCCTTCGCGTTGATACACACGAAGGTCGAAGAATATAGATCATGCAATCACGGCCCTTCTTCCCCAGGTTTGACGACATCAAGGTGAAGACGAATATGAAGACAGGCAATGTCATGAGACATGGAAGCATGGCTGACTACCAAAAGGCCAAAGAAGATCCCTAACTCTCAAAAGTCATGTTCGCCCGTTGCAAATGCATATCCAACTCCCGCGTCCATCGATTTAAGATACCTCACTTTGTGGGCAACAGCATCTGCATTCCTTTGAAGAAGCTCTCTATGTCGTACCGTCGGATCGAACAACGACGCTGGCTTGCAGGACTCGGAAAGTCAGATTACAATGGACACAATCCATGCTCAACTCGGCCACATTCTCATGGCTGTGGGTATGTTTTTTGAGTCAAATAGGGAAGATTTCTTGCCACCAGGTTGTATAGGTAAGCAATTCAGTTTGGAAAATGGGCCGACTACGCAGGCAAGATGGAACCGAACCTGCTGCGTGCGGCCAGAGAGGTTGTTTCCAAGACTTTTGCAGCAGCTCGAGCCGGATAAATGTGTCCGCCCTGATTCACTCACCCCACAAGATGGAACGTGACTCAGAACAAACAGGTATTTGCGCCCATGTTCAACTGCAGGGGCAAAGCAAGTACTGTGCATGTCCCTTTTGCAACATATTGTACATGTCCATACGTATTTATACATATGTATATATATTGTATCTATTATATACATATGAAAGAGGTTATAAAGACACTGACATGGTCGCTTTGCCCAGTCACAGAACCACTAATGTAAGCACAGGTCAGGTCTGGACATGTTTTCTATCTCATGCCTCCTCGACTTGTGGAACTCATCCTGTGATCCTTGTGGTCGACGTGTTCTTCCTCCTTTTCAATTGAATTTCTTTGATAACTACTGTACCAACCTGTGAACACAACGACCTCTTTTTTGGGCCTGTAAATCGATGCTGAAGTTTCTTTGTTTCTGTACTTTAGATCTTTCTTCATTTCTTTGTTTTGACCACAAATCTCCCTGGTGTAGTTACTTCACGTGAGCAACTGCATGGGGATCAACTGTCGGCTCTTCTTTCCCATCAAAGTCATTTAAAAGGATCGGTATTGTTTCATATTGTTTTATTATGTTATAGTATACAGTCCTGCAAAGCTGAGATGTGTAAGGTTCAGGAACCTCAGCATTCGAATTCAACCAATCCCTGGTCAAAAAGGAAAATAGCATTCACTTCCATTTCAATTCCGTAAGTCGCACAAGGTTTCTTCCCGTGAAAGTACACTTTCGGCTGAGGAACAGGTTTGCATGCTGGCGGAGCGGCATCCTGATATTCGCAGCATTTTGATCCGAGCCTCGACTGTGTCTTGCGGGTCAAAACAGGCCAAAACTGTGGATTAAGCAGAGGAACCTTCAACGCGCCCAGAATGCTGTAATTTCTCCATCACACCTGGTGCAAGGTGTTTTTTATCGACAGTGGTGATGCATGATGAAAACTACATTTCCCCGACTGCTTTGACCATCCCATCACCGCAAGTCCCGAAGGCGAGTTGCTGGGAAGCACTGCAATTGCGAAGCTGTGAGGTACTCTTACCAAGTGCGGTTCCATTGCGAATGAGATCGGACCACCCTGCCAGGGACCTGGTGTTTGGCTACTTGTGACACTTGCAGACGTGCGAACAAGAGCAACAGATATTGATTGCCTTCCAGTCTCAACACTGCAATGGACTGGCACATATGAAAGTCTTCGATGCAGAATCCCGGGAAAGCTACACTTTTTGCAGTGTTCAACCTACAGCTAGACCCTTCTTGATTGTTGCGGTCTACACTTAACGGCCTTGTTCTAGGCTTTGTCACTGTCACTGACCCGATTCTATCACCGAGGATTTGGGTGGTTTTAACGTTTTGCCCAAGATGTTCAGGGCCAGTTCAAAGAATCTGCAGTTTGTGTTGTCTCCCCTCCAGAATATATAAAGGGTCCACACAAAGTGGCTGCCTTTGTCTGGCAATGACCAATTGTAGAAAAGAATGAAAGAACAATGTGATACGAAGCCAGGCTGTAGATACCAGCGGCTCTTAGGATGGAGGCCATCGCTATTAGGTTGGTTGGAGGCCTTCTTATTCCTATTTTTGGGGGGGGGTCTGCCTCTTTTAACGTCAGGTCTCCACAGCATGGCGCTCTTGGCCCAAGCGGATGATGACACATGCCAGGCCGTCTTGGAAGTAGACCAGGCGGCTCTCTGAAAAAGCACTTGCAATGATCTGCATGAAGTTCTTCTTATTGCATGTCTGTTCTTTATTGCATTTTGTTTGTTTTCAATCTGCTGTTTTGATTGTTTTGTGTATATCAGTGGCATTTGACCCAAAACTGGACATTGACAAACTTGTTTGAGAACTACGACAAAGGATGCAAAAAGGTCCAGGAGCGAAAGATTGCTCGCCGAGAACATGATGAAGCATGTAGCTATAGTTCAATATTCTTACTAAGGGAGTTCCTTCCACAGGTTGAACATCTTGCTTAAGAGTGAAAACCCTGGGTCAACATGACAACATGATGCAAAACGCACAAGTTGATGGTTGGGTTTGCATCGTTTTGTCCAGCTTTGACTGGAAGCGTCGGTTCAAGCCACAGGATGGGGTGTGCTCGGTTTGTAGACCAGCAGCCCGAACTCTCTTCAATTGAGTGGCGCGACTTTGCCGTAAACGTCTTGTCTTGACGACAATTGGATCAAACGCCCTTCACAAAGCCACAAGACCCTGCTGCAGCCACCCCATCCACAGGAGGCAGGGATGGGCCTGCAATATGCTCGGTTGGAGGAGCTGGACGATGAAAAGGTCGGAGATGTTTTTGCTCTTCTTTGATACAAGTATGTGTCAAGCTTAAATGGCATTAAGTGATTTCAAAGAAGCCAATTATCCCCAGCTTTCGGTGCACAAATGCCCAACCAATGGTTGAAGCAGGAAAACCCGCATCATCTGAGGCCATGCTTTGTTTGTCCGGGTCACTCAAATGTTCAGAATCATCAATGAGACTGGCTTGTATCGGATTTTTTTGCATCCAGTTGACAGGTGCAACAGCTGCTGCACATGTTAGACCCTGAGATTGTCCAGTCCGACGAGCGCCTACTGGGAGCTGTCCTGAGGAATTTGATGCTTCCACAGCATGGGGAACGCTGGCCAAGAAAAATCGGGAATAACTGGACAAAGTAAGGGATGACTTCCATCCTCCCATGTAGGTTCTACTCTCGCTTATGTCCCTTGCATGATATCCCTTTTCGCAGCTCGTATGATTGCTGGTTACATCTCATGATGGTTATCACAGCGTGCTTTTGGCATAGATGGATCGACAGTAAAAGGCAAACTGAACTGCTGCGAGAGTGCTGCCCCATCATGTTATTGCTCTCTCCCTCTCTCACATTTGCACTGCAAGGGAAAGTGTTTTCCAACCCTTCGCAAGTGGGCTCAATATAGTGACAGCAAGAGGGAAACCACCGTTGCTCAGGACGCAGTTCCTTGAGAAAGATGGTGAGGCCGCAGACAAGTTCCGCAGGAATCATACCAGAAGCGTCTCTAGGCTTTGGAGTCGGACTAGACTAGACTATGCCTATGTACTGCTCCACGTGTTTGTGGACTTCATTGAAACGCTTCTAGTAGCTAGAAGCTAGTAGTAACAAGTGCATGGCTACTAGTAACAAGGGCATTGCATTTGTTCACATCTACTTGTCACGCTCGAAACAGCCAGCGCTCAGGTGATCGACCGGACCTTCAAGGTCCTGGCAACGAATTGCGCACGAGAGACCTTTGGAAACCCTGATGAGGAGGCCACGGGACCCCAATGGACCCATGCCCCCAGAAACTACTTCAGGTGTCTACCAAGCAAGTTGCATGAAGTCTACACCCAAGATCCTCGCTCAACATTGTTCAATACTTAGTAAGTTGCATGCCTGCAACATAACATCTTGGAACCAGAACACTCATACAACGAAGACAGGGGGGTCAGCCAACAGCGGCCGTAGAGAGGCTTTTTTGATGGGTTTTTGGATTGGGAGATTGATTGCTTCGACGTGCGATGGCCAGGAACAAAAGGTCACTCTCAGCGAGCAATGTATCCAAGTGCTAATCACTGCCTCTTTCCAGCCTTTGCTTCGGCGTCATCTTCGCAGAGAGGCAGAAGTGCAATCACATTCTGAGTGATTTCTGTTCAGCTATGCAGTACTAGTGTCATCAACTTGGTTGAGAAGTTGTCATCCAGCCCTGCTTTCTTGGATTTTCCTTGCAAAGCACTGTGCGACATGCCACGGAGACTCGAGCAGTACTCTAAGACTCTATGTGCGGTGAAATGCAAAACCTGTGCAATGCCCATGTGCAAAGTAATAGCATAGAACGTTGGCAGACCTTCAAACGTTGATATCCAGGAAAGTAAAAGCGCATGCAACAATCACGCAACGGTGTATAGTCATCCATGTGTGGTCCTAAGTTGGAAATAATGCAGACTAACGACTCATGATTAAGCTGTCAAAAAGATGCTGACCATTGATTGGTATGTATATATATATGTGTGTGTGTGGAGGTTCTCATGAGTAGCCAAGGTCCGTACCCATGCAAGCGACACGGTAATACATATTCATCCTCGGTTGTGGGTTCTGAGGAAATTGTAGGCGGTTGCTATGTGTCTAAGCGTTTGACTTTTGTTGCTAGATGAAAGCAGGAGAGGACCACAAGCTGACTTGGTAGTGGAATGAGACCAGATAAGGCCAGGTGAAGTATATATATATATACATTATATATGTCTCCCTGCCTCATCAGCCTTTTGAAGTTCATCCGACGCCAAACTATTGATGGGCATGTCCACCTGCCCAGGATATTTGTTCTGGATCAGGCATAATCCTGCCTCATATCAATGGTTCTCACGAATATCCTGAATTGAACTTGATTGGAGCAATCTTGAAGCTTCAGGTATCCAAGGACTTTCTGAAGATCCTGAAAGACCATGAATCTCGGCAAGCCGAGTCAATTACTGCAATGGACAAACCATACATAAGTTGCCTATCGTCCACACCCCATGTCCACAGCCCCAAGAAGAATCGATTAGAATCAGAACTTCAGAGTGGGTCACTTGCGTTGTTCAGACTGGCTCCAGGATACTGTACCAGAAGTTTCAAGTTTTATCAAGGTGTTTGGATGTACTTATTTCCTGTGTATTGTTATTTTGTTGAGACCCACTTGCATTGGTTCAATTGAAACATCCAAATCGGTATATAAGTTGTGTTTTGTTGGCCAGTCTGCCAAGCCTTTGCTTCTCAATTGTATCCTGCACCCTGTGTGATGGCTAGAAACTGAGCGACATTGGACACTGAGGGTTTGTCGGAGACCAGCAGTTTGCATTGCAATGATCCCATATCGGATCAATATCGTGTATCATCCATTTCTCCGAAAGACTTGTCAGAATTGGTGAGTTGGGGTGTGGAGTGCTCAGTGAATCCGGACAGAAAATAATCTATCGAAGTAACAAGCACCCTCAGGGCAGAGTTTCTGAGTTTGGTAAGCTGAGTTCCTTCACCCACTGGGAGATACTCATGTCTAAGCCATACATTCTGTGAAAGAAACTAGTCGCCTAGAGTCGTCGGATGGTTTCCTACCAAGTGTGCTAAGGGTTTCCAAACAAGTGCATGGAAGCCTCGGAACACACCTATTGACATCAGATCCCTCCAGTGAGACGCAGACGGGGTCCAAACTCAGGAGACCTTGGATACTTGGACTTGCAGGGATGTGAACGTGGAGCTGACCTGGACAGGGCGGCACTTGGACTTGCTGCTCTCCTGCCTGAACACGGCCAGCTGCGGGATGCGGGATGGCACAAGGGGAGTTCAAAGGAGTTGTGAAAAATACTTCAATTTTTTGCGGCTAAGTCATGAGGCTTTGCCTTAGGGTCACGGAGTCCTATGTCATGAAGCTAAGGTTTAAAAAAACTCAAAATCAGAGATGTCCGATCTGTCAGAGGTTGTCACTAAACTGGCCCATGTCATGAACGTGTGCCACTGAAATTGCGAATTTCACACCTCTACATGACTTAGGCCTTTCCCTGGAAATTGTATGTCATATCGGGCCAGTTTGGCCTACTGTAAGTCATTTGTTCCCAGTGTATATAGATAGCCAAGCTTAGACTTGTCGCACGTTCTGGACTTGGTGTTGCAAGACGTCTTCAGCACTGCTGATTCTTTCGTTTCAGCGTTTCAGAATGCAGAAGCTCATTCAATCATACGAGAGGGACCGACGCAGTCTCAGTGACTCCTTATGAAGCTCTCACCTTTTTTTCCTGGCCAATCAGTCGAGCCCCTGTGGTGTCATGCTCGCGACAGACCTCGCCAATGTGTTTGAACAAGGACATGAAGCAGGTGCGAAGAATTTCACCCTGTCAGTGAGGGTCGGTGTTTCTATCAAGTTGACTGCTTTTTTGGAAGTGTCAACCGATTCACTAGAGCATATCCAATGGCAAATCGCTGCAGATGTTGCTGTGCAGACTTCACTACGGAAATTGCATTGCGGAAGTCCGCACTTTTTGGCAGGAGATTACCCGAGCTCAAAATATACCCATCTTGGGGCCACAATCAGACATTGTCATGCCACTGGCATGCTCCATGTTTCTTGCGTTTTGTTCGTTGCTGAATGTGTGTGTCATTTGAAGTGACTCCCTTCCTCTCTCCGTGTTCTCTGTCGTTTTCCCTGTCCGCTTTCAGTGGACGCAAAAGGGCTGGGAGGGTGAGACAAGCAAGTCAATCACAAACCCCCAGGTGCCACAGTAGGGAAGCGAATCTGGGATATGATAGGATTCCCAGCATGAGGGATGGCTTCTTGTGTGTTTTTCAATGGAGAACCAAATAAACAGTATAAACGGAGATCTAATTTGGCTGCAACTCTAGATGTCCTCTTGACTCAAAGCCCAATTCTGATCAAACCCCCTGGCTCCTTCGCAAACCACGGAGAAACCAAAGGACTTGGTTGAATTGGGCACCTCAAGCTGCCTCAGATCCATATCCATCCAATCTATTTGGCCGAGAGTTTGATTAGGATCACCAGGGAAGCGAATTCTCAAACGGCTAAGCCACCTTTGTGGAACACGGGCGCCTTCTCAAACGGCTAAGCCACCTTTGTGGAACACGGGCGCCTTTGCAAAGGCCTTCCGCGTTTTTCATCGCATTGCCAATGTCATGGCTGGCGTGGGAGACTGCCCAGAGATGGCCCGTGGCCCGGCACCATGGTGTGTGGATCTGTTTGATCAGTATGAGACCACTATTTGAGCACTATGGCTTTCTCCATGCACCGTCACTAGTAACACAATATGTATGATTTGCATCCAAGTGTTCAGCGGTATCATTTTGCCACAAAGACCTTGTTTAGATTCCTCATCCCGGTAGCTTTGTGGTAGCGAAACCAACCTTACCACACTGCAGTGCACCACCTCCGAAGCACTAGGGTAACACTAGGGGCTCTTGGTGTATAGTGTATTTGTTGGAAATTCATTCCACTGACAAAGGTCTCCTATAGCACTTGAGATCGGGAAACTGCGGAAACACGGTTCTTGTTTCCTAAAAGCATAAACAAGGATGCACCCTGAAAACGGCTTCCTGGCCCTGGGTTTGACAATCGTCCTTTGCAAACATTTGGTGAATTCAATTGGATCATGTGCGGAGGTGTATCTATATATTTGAGACTGACGGACCAGGGTTCGAGTCATTCATCAGGTTCTAATCATATGTATATTGAGAGCATTTTGGGTGTCAGGTTTCGGCTTCGTGTCTACCCACCGCAGCAAAAAGAAGAGCGAAAACAATCAACCGACAATCACAAACTTGAGAACTTTCTGGAGCTGGGCCGAGGCACTGCCGAGGAGCGTGCAGCGGAGGAAACAGTCTTCTGGGATGAGAAGCTCATGCGCCAGGAGGTGGGTCGAACGGGTCGAAGGGCGCACAGAAGATTCTCGTCGACACCAGGAAGACCTAACCCCCAGCAGGCCTAGCTTGCACCACCAACGGAGATATGTTCAGTTGTAACCAAAAACCCATTCACTAAAGGAAAAAATAATCAGTGGAGTAAGATATTTTGCACCGGGAGCCATTCCAATCCGGGCTTTGGCTTTTATGGGTAAGTTCACCATCAGGCAGATCTGGGTGGGAAAAAACCGCTTGCCCGGCTTAGGTCATGTCAACACGACCAAAAGTCTCCTGCGTTCTTTCTTTGTGAATTTCCGACTAAACATATGATCCAGTATGCACCATTTTGTGAAGAAGGTAGCAGATGCTCAAACACATGGGGGTTCTCCTGTGTCCTGCACTGCGGTAGGCCAGGAGGGTCGTCCGTGCCTTGCAATCGATGAGATTGGGTTGAACTAGAGTCTAGGTGGTTTTCTTCAGTTTGTTTCAGACTCAGGGTGGCTCAAAATCAAAAACCCTTCAAACAAGAGTTGTTTTTGTCAGGTGCATCGTGCATATGTTTGTGCGTGGCATTACTCTTTGCACGAGCAAAGATGCAAACCAAAGATATGCCTTGGTGTTCAGAGGCGAATTTGCTCGACGATATGGCATATGAAGACCAGTTGCAGCAGCAGATGATGTTCTTCTCCTTCAATGGTATTGAGGGAATGGCTCCTCAGACGCACGTCCTGGGACCTGGGACTAGATGATCTGGTTTTGGTGGGGATTCGTGCGCCATAAGATCGAGGCCTGTGTATTTCACGGAAGAGCCAAGCTTTTGGTTTAGGAAATTTGGAATTTGAGAGATGTCCAAATTGAAATATGCTTTGCTGACAACTTGTCAAAGAGAAAGCGAGGGCCAGGACAATTTGTAAATTGTTTGAGGAGCAATGTTGGCTTTGACAGCAATAGCATGGTACATAGTTTCTAGGCATGGAATCAAGTCTTGGGTGACTTTAGTTGTTGCAGGAGCTCTATCAAACTTAAAGAAACAAGGGATGAATTCGGAGCAGATACCCTATATATATATATATATATCAGATTCAAGTGAAAAAGCACTTCAGCAAAGGTACACTTTCTGGAGATGCCTCCGGAAGATGGTACCGAGCATTTGGAAGAGACATCTCCAAACAAGAAAAGTGTGTGGAAGCCTGGAAGCAGTTCTAACAGCGCTTAAATACACACTCACTTAAATAAAGAAAGACAAACGAAAGGCCAAGGAGAAAACATAAAGAAATAAGTAAACAATATGGATTGTGCAGGACCGCTCCATAGCGGTGGAGTTGCAACAACAGGCACGAGCATACTTGGAGGCCTGGTGGTTGCAGATGGGACCTAGAATAGCGAACTTTACAGGGGCAAGTTAATCTCAACATCCAGCCCATGTGCATGCTTTTTGGGGGGGACTACAAATGTGCCACTGGCAGAGATCTTTCTGCGTGTGCGCGTGTGTGTGTGTGTGTGTGTCACACCCTGTCTCCAAGGGTTTCCTTCTCACTTTCTAAGCAGGGGGCAGGAGCACCATTGCAAGTCTCCTGCCAATGAAGACACTTGCAACCGCTGGTGATACCAGACCTGATCAGTCTGACCAACGCACTGACTCCAATGGTCCGCCCTCCGCTGTTTGTTGCTTTCATGGTGGTTTCCATGCTACTTTCCCCAACCCACTTTCCCTGCAGACTTGCAGCAGCGTTTGCCGCCGGCTTTGAGCGTTCGTGAACCCTTTGTTCAAACACGTTCAACTCCGCGGACTCAGCCGCCGTGCCGTTCCACCATTCCTTTCCTTGTGGATTATCCTTACTGAATGAACAACATCGAAGTGCGCGTGTGTGTGCCCACCGCCTTTTCTAGGAGTCCTCACCAGTTTTACTCAATGACTTTTGAACTGCAGGGGGGAGCGGTCCTTTCAGCAGTCACTGCCTAACAAAGACACTGCTGATCGGATGTGATATTCAGAGAGGACGCCGCAGCGGATGTTTTTTATACAACATTGTCGCCATTCCCCACGGCTGTTTTCAGGCATCAGGGGTCAGCCAGTAACTGAATCTCATGCTCATTCAGTGAATCTGAGTGTGACCAGCTGCATCTTCCCACTTGGGTGTGCAGTGTGATCCCCTTTGGGGCGCCGTATTCACCACTGAATTTTCCTGATCGAAGTGCGTATGTTGGAAGCCATTCACTTACCAACTGGCTTGCAAGGATCAACTGACAAACAACTCCATTTTCTACAACTTCAGATTTGACTCACTTTCCATTTTCAACCTTTATCTGTTCCACTTTCAGCAAACTACCAATTCCGTTTTTCAATTCAATTTTCGTTTCAACGCCACGTGCTGAGAGTTGCTGTGTCCGCGCTGCCCGCCGCCGCCAGCCGCTGGCCGCCGACACCACATTTCCACCAGTTCAACATTTTCTACCCACAACTTCCATATGTCTATACTGAGCCACAACCACAGCCACCAGCTCCGTTTGTCCAAGTTCCAGTATACATCCCTCCGACTCCTCAGACACAGCCGCAGCCCCAGACAGATCTCAGGTTGCAGCCACGACACCCACTCAACCTCCTCCAACGCAGATCCAATGGGATCCCAACCCAGGTGTATAGACGTCGACAGCGCCGACGCCACCATCGCCACCACCACTCTGGTAGACAACGTTCCAACCATCGCCGCACACGTCGCCATCACCACCGCCACCGACATGACCACTCCATCACACTCACCGGCAGCACTGGTTCTGACATTTCACACCGCAGCACCATCAGCTTCATTCCCAATCAAGAACCACACAAGACCAATCATTGCATGGGGGCCCCCCACACCTTCCACCCCTGCCCCTAAGCCTTTTCAATTTCCACCCAAACCCCCTTTTGTGAGCAAATCGAAATTTGGCTTGACCACCATGCCAATCAATTGGGCAGAAGCAACATCCCATTCCATGCCCATATAGGGCACACGT